AGTGCATCTATCAACCACAGAAGAGCTATGTCCGGAGTAGGGCAGGAAACAAGGCCCTTTGGCACATACAGGAATGCTCATGAGGTAGACACAGCAATTCTGTGATGTACGCAAGAATTGGCATTGAGAGGGAGGAAATTTATATTGTTTCTAGTGCGTCTTTACCCTTCCTACCTTACTTCAGGAGCCGCAAACATACTTTCTACAGAAACAGTCAAGCACACCTCCAGGAAGTCCCTCTAATTTTACCTCTTGACGCAGCCTCTTGTCTGGTAACAAAGGCAGGAACCAAAAGCAGTGGGGGAATGCGTTTTCTGGAGGGGGGAGTGCATTGTACCTCGTTTCCTTGAGCAGTGCGGCAGGGGTCGCTGAGAGCCAGCTGGGACGAGTGAATGAGAGGAGCAACATCCGCAGAGAGCATGCAAGGTCCAGAGATTTCCCGCCAGCCGATGAGCACGTGTCTGGAGCCAGAGAGCAAGAAAGAGACGAAGCTAGAGATTCTGTATTGTTCTTCTCTCCCCTCCTCACTCTACTCCAACCCCCACTATTAGAGAGACGGATTAACTCCAAGAGTTGCCAGTCCTGCTACAGTGTGCCTGCCTGGCTCTGTGTATGCTGACACACACACACACACACACACACACACACACACACAGCATCAAATAGGCCTTCTGCCTGTGACAGACAAAGTCAGATGCTCTCTACAAAAACACGACCAGGACAATTGGCCTGAAACTGGAGAACTTATTCATGGGTTGAGCATGCTCAATTCACCAAACAGACTAAAGGCCCAAACTGCATGTGTAGCAACACACACCCCTAGACGGTTTGTGACTGGCACACTCTAGAGATGATTCAGTCTCAGCGTGATGGAGCCCAGGGGCTTCTATCTGGAGTGGGGTGACATTTCCTCCTCCACAGGAGAGAGTCGTGATTAAAGACGTAAAATTTGATTAGAAGGTGGAAAGGGAACGGTGACAGCCGTTGCTGTAATGACTTGAGCCAGAGCTCCCTGCAGCTCTGGGATTGTTGTTTACCTGGAGATGACATAAGATTTGAAGACATGGGGAACTGGCACGGTTGACATTTTAAAGCGAGGTCCCGCTGAGGCTGGTCCAGTGGGAATCCAGTTACAATGGCGGAGCTGTTGGAGAGGCCGAATGTGCTGAGCAGACTCTGTGGTGTAACTGCTGTATCAGAAAAGCAGCCAGTCATACATTGGATGTATTAGAAGAACAATTTTGCGTGTCTTATCTACTGGAATGGAACAAATCTACAAGACTAGCATAATTTCTGAAGAAATATCTCTTGTGCTCACTTTACTTTAAGAATAACCAGTAGTGTGCAGGTCTTTTTTTTTTTTGGTTCTTTTACAGTTATAATGCAACAAGGTTTTGTAGAAGACTGTAATAAAACATTTGCTCTGAAAACACAGAAATACAGTTAACTTCAGCATAAAATGGTCCAATCTGACTGCAAGAAATCCGAACGGAGAAATAGTTAGAGAAATGGCCACTGCACCAAAGGAAACACTGTAGATTAACTAGAAACTGACTATAACCTGTTAAAACACTTTTTATACTTGAGATGTAGCTGCTTTTATTCAGCCATGTGTTCTTATTTAGCATACAGAACAAAAATAATACAAAATAAAACCACAACAGAGAAAAGCAGCAAATGTTCACATCAGAGGAGAAGGATGAGTTGGACAGTCTGTGATGCCAAACTTAGGTGCAGTGGTGATTTATACTGTAATGCTAATGTAAGAATGCTTTAAGCTCATAATTACAATGCTAACATTGTGTTAATATTTACCATGTTAACATCTTAGTTTACCTACTTAGCCCATCTGTGTCTGAGCAACTCTGCCAGCACGGCTGAAAATGATTTAAAAATAACACACTTAAATTATTATCTATTAGTTTTCTTAAAGTTTTCTCTTTACATTTTAAGCCCTTCAGAAAGGTATCCCATCTGAGAAATCCTCATGGTTAAAGAACATTGTCAATAACTGAAAACTGCAGAGAAAGAGCCTCTATTTATCATAACCTACAAATTTTTCTGTCTGTGAAACTGGGCAAACACAGCTGATAACTGTCGTATTGTTCACAGCATCAAGCTGAACCTCTGTGAGCAAAACAAGACAATTATCAGAATCAGTTTTGAAGTCTCAATATGAAATGGAGGAGGATCTGAGCCCTGATGATAAACATGTAGAAATCTCTCTGGTCCAACTAATGCTCTGAATGAGGGTACACAAAACAAAATGTTTTGTAATTGCATGCTTGTGGTTAATTGCACTGAGCTTTGGTGAGCACATCTGATGCAAGAGGATCAGAATCAGGGTGTAAACACCTTGGAGGAATGTAACAAAAATAAATAATATTGTTCCTAATTGTGAAGTAGCCTCAACATTTAGCATGAATTTGCATCAGACATGCAACATTCATCAAATATCTCTGGCAGATGCTTATCGGAAAAATAATGAAGCAATCAGTACAACCGCTGAGCACACTAATTACTAATGCCAGCCCAGGACGCCCACCAGCAGCATCTCACAGAACACGTGTGTGTTTTTCCAGGAGAAATAAGATTCACAACAGACGCTTAATTACCAGAGAGCCTTAGTTTGTCCCCGCCATTGCTCATGGTTAAATTAATGAGTAAGTAAACAGCAGAGGAGCCAGCCAGACTCGGTATGGTTTGGATGAGATCTGACACCACACGCGCAGAGTCAGCAGCAGTGCTGAAATATTACAGATAAAGTGGTGGTTCAATGCCATGGTGGAGATGGAGCTCAGAGGAAGAGCTGAACGTAAGCTTCACAGAGTCTATGATTAAATGATAAACCACACACGATAGACACAGTTTGGTTCTGACTTGCAACAGGTAAAATGATGATGAACAACATGAGGAAAATATTTACCGCATTTCAACACAGTAGTCCATCATAAATCTCGGTCTCCACCCTTCCTGATACGAATAAACACATTTGGTTGACAAACCAACAACAGCAGTGTCTGAGATTTAATGCTCACTGGCTTAGACCCAGGGACAGGGCAATCTTATTCTTTCAGTCACCACCCACAGCCCGGGACTATAGGTGAGGGTTGGAGCGTAGACTAGACTGGAAAATTCAAAGCTTTGCCTGTCAGCTCAGCTCCTTCTTCACCATGATGGTCCGGTGCAGTGTCCGAGTTACTGCTGATGTTATAAACACCAATATATCAATTTCCAGAAGAAAGTACACCCACCTCTGATGTCAAAGCACTTAGAACATAGTCCAGAGAAGACTGAAGTACAGGGGTACAGAGTATAATGAGAAGTGTGCCACAGCTATCCTAAAAATACTAGGTATCTACACCTGTGTTTTGCTAATTTGCGCTGTCATGCATTTGTTAATGTTTCATCCGTGTGCATTTTTTGTTGTGTTAAGCACATTGAATTGCCTTTGTGTATGAAAATGTGCTATATAAATAAACTTGCGTGGTCTATATAACATTTTCTTACATTATCATTATCTCCATTTGTTGTTTTCTTTTCATTGGTTCCACTCCTTTACTTCTAGACAGACAGATCTAACAGACACTATAACTGTGATTCTGCTGTTCCACAGTAAACTTCAAATACCAACTCATATCTTTAGCATTTATTGGAAGTGTGAAAAATGTCCTTCTGCAAAGCCAAAGATGTTGCAATTAGCAAATGTTTTTTTTTTTATAAATAAATTATTAAATCAAACATAGTTGTTAATTAATCTTCTTTCTGTTGGTTGTCTAAATGGACTGATCATTTCAGCTCTTGACAAAGTGTTGAACCCCAAAACTTGCCTGCTGTTAACACCGTCTTCATTAAAACTTACTGTAACCTTTGGCTTCGTCACAGCGTTGGTAGTTTCTTGGGTTTAAACTGCCACCTGGCAAAAAAAACAAACTTTGCCATACTAAACGAAGGTGGACATTCCAGTGGCTTGTTTATGGCTCTAGACAGAGCTGGGTGGGGGGGGATTTCAGGTGCCTCTCTGTCCATCACGCTGCTGCTTCTCTCTTCTTTGTGATGGTGGGTGGGGGACAATATGGCAGGATGAGAAGCAGGTTCTATTATTAGTGAAAGACTTAAAGTGGAGTGAGTGCCTGGGGAAAGCTCTGGAGCCAGCCAAACCTCACTGACATTATTTCAAGATTTGCTGTGGTGACAATTTTTGCAGGAGTTGACTGTGCTGGGTGCACTGCAATATAAACGCCCATTCCAGTGGTTCTGTGTGTTGTAGCTCTACAAATCATTTGTATCTCTTAGGCCACAGTCAGACAAACACACCCTACGGTAGAACAACACAACATATAAGACTTTCAGGTCCTACTAAAACAACAACAAGATGAGTCCGGTCAGGCTACAATTCCTTTAGCTGTGTTTTAAACAGAAAGATCAGTCACTCTTCTTCCATGATATTTCTCAAAAGATACCCGCTCAAGGCACGACTGCAGCCTCCAGGGTTCAATACATGTACCGTTCTAAAGGAACTCTGGGTCCTGTATTAAATAATTTTGTGGCATTATTAACGCACTTGCTGTTAGTGCCAGTAATCATGGCTCCAAATCGAGCAGGGCATGAGTTTAAATGTTATGGGGCTTGAAGAAACACTGATTTGGCCTTAAGTTGTCAAGTATGTGTGTCAAGGAAACAAGAAAGATATAGCTCTAGATGTACAAATTTCTATTACAATGGTGAGAAGGCAGTTGTGACAGCATGTTTGACATATTGTGTACCACATTTAGCTACAGCAAAATCCACCTGTGCCACGACTCGCTCGCCCAAATTATTTGCAGCTTCTGACAAAACATCAAGTTGTCTCTTCCTCAGGGAGAGGAGTCATACCAGCAGCTGCCTGCCACCCTCAGTACAAATGAGATAATCTGGGTGAGGACATGAACCTGGTGGTTTAGTGGATTTGGGCCAGAACAAGTGGAGGTATAAAATGAAAGACACCAGAGGACACTCAAGAGGATATTCCATGTTTCTTGTCACAAAGCCAGATGCCTGTCCAGTTGTCATTGCTCCTTTCTGCTGCCAGTCCTGTACTTGCTCCAGCATCAGTGTCCTCCACACAATAATGCCACTATCTCCATGGTGATGTAGCAGCCACAAGCCACAGCCAGTGCCACCACTAGCAGCATTACAAACACAATCATAGACAAACACACACCGAATCCTCCTCTGTCATGTTATTGAAATTTTTTTTTTTTTAACACGCTGCTCTGTGTATGGAAATTAATTTGTGGGGCCAACGCCTCACTCAGTATTAATGCGGTCTCCGATTACTCGATGGCTCCAGCCCCCTGGGGCCACGAATCTCTTTGAGCAGAGAGTGAGACAGAGGAGGAGAAGAAAACCATATAAACCGCTTCCTAATTGGGGTTGACAAGCACTGACAGTTTCATATTGAGGAGTTCTCCCAGTGGAGGTTCACACAGTAACAACAATGAAATGACACCTTTGGCAGGGAAGACATTGCATCACCATTCTCATTTGCACAAAGAGCAAGTGAAAATGATGAGCATTTTGGCACAGAGCACACACTTGCAGTCTGGTGAAACCTCCTCCTCCTCCTCCGTTTTAGCTCATGCGACCTAGCAGAGGACTTGGCTCTCGCCTTGTCAAGAACTGCACATGAGAAACACCAGCCTTGCCGTCCTTTAGCCCATCAATCAGCCTGTCCAGCAGCCATGAAATGAGCCATATGCGGCACGGGCAGGGCACACGGGGAAAACAATGGTTTTATATATTTCAGAGCCCAAGTCTGCCTTTCCTGGCTGCCTCAACGTGGATTCCAAGAGCTCGAATAAGTCACAAAATCAAATGCAGGCTTTGGCAAGGTGATTACAAATGCAAAGGGTATGTATTTGTGTGTCTGGGCAAAGACATGCTTTGATTTAGAGAGAAGTAGCGATGACCAAGTATTTAAGACAAGAAAGTAGAGTTGCTCCCCACATCACCTCAGCCTTCCGCAACAATTAGCTGCTGACAGAAGCCCAATAATAAGCTCAAGGGGACTCCATCAGTTCCAAGCATATGGCGCCATTTTAATCTGCAGCCTATCAAATGAGTCTGGCAAGTAGACAAGGTTTGATTTCAACTGACTGCATGCTCAGAAGCTTCAATATTACAGAAAAATAAAAGGACATAAATGCAGTATTCAGTGTGTGCAAAGTAGCACTGATTCACAAATTATAAATGAAAGGATCGTTATGCTTTTTGGTGTTGTGGGAAACTCAGTGTTGATAATAAATATCCAGATGGAAGAAGTTGCCAAGGAAACCAGAGGCAAGACTTTTCTGGGTGACAGGATGAAGATTCGCTTTTTAACTTGACAAAATGGCACATTTCTGCATAACAGGGTGACATTTTGCTTCCTTGTTAGCCGGGGTCACAACCTGGCATCCATTAGAAGCTGGAGTGGAGTAATCCTCATAGCCCGTAATCATAGAGCTAACACCTGCTTGTATTGTCCACCTCAATCACATGGCCCCCCAGGCACTAGCCCAGGTTGGGTTTGCAGGGGATTTCTCCTCTCACCATGCCTTCCCATAATCCTATTAGACCCACTCATCTGTGCTGCATTTAAAAAATGTGCTGACTGATCCTAAAACACAAAGCCCGTGTCCTGAGGTTTCCTACAGAGGACACCTTGTCTTTCCTGTGTTTCACTTTCTACACAGGGATATTACACACCTCTCACACCACAAAGAATCATCTCATCCTTCTGCAGTTCCAATTTAGATATTTCTGGTTTGACAAGCCATCTTGATTAAAGGGGCTCTTAGATATTTACCACACAAACAAACAGACTTGGTGCAACCGGTAACAGTCAAGCTCAAAGCAAAAACGTTTCACAGACTGAGGGAATGAAGATTAAAATTAAACCCAGTCTTATGACTTCTTTGTACAAAAGTCAGTCTGCACTTCAGAGCATTTAGCGACAAAACTAAAACACTTTCACATATATTCTCTAGCCTTTTTGTTTTACCTCCTGAGTGTATAGACTTGTGTGTGACCCATCCATTGAAACAGTATCAGGGTATTACTTGTGCGGTACTGAGAGATCATCCTGCAGTTGGACATACCAATAAGCAGGTTAAACATCTGACTCCAGATCAGCTCTTTGTGAAATACTTTTTGATTTTCTTCTGAAGAAACTCTTTATTATAGAAGTCTTTTTGCATTGGACTTGAATGACATCTACTTCGATTACTTCAGTAATAAAAAAAAATTTAAAAAAACAAACACAGTAACCACCTCACCCAACCTATGATATTTTTCAGGAAATCAACAACAAAGAAGTGAAACTCAGTAAACTCCATCATTATGCTGTGAGGTGAATGTGTGGGAAACTGCAGACTCCACATTTAAACCGAGTCTGCAGTTTTTTTTCCATCCAAAACTAAAAATCTTTTGTGTGGATTTAACTGCACATATTCCTCAGCATGTATTAGCTCAGTCAAATACTCCTACAACTCTCTAAAGCACCACTCTGACACGGTTTGCTGACAAGGGACTTATTGCTCTCTTTTTGCCCCTTGGGTCCCTCGTGGTCCAGACGGTGACCATCAGTGGGTGGAGGTGCAGATGGCTGCAGCTGTGGAATTTGAGGAATTCCCCTTGTAAACATGTCACACATTAGCGGTCACCACAGTCTTATCTCCCTGTGCCCATCACTCACTTTAATCATTGTAATGGTTAGTTATTCATAACCAACACCCCCACTTCTTCTTCTTCAGCTTCTCCTGTGGCCTCTGCTTGGCCTGGGTGGATGCAGCTGCTGCTACTACCAAGAACTAAAGTGACTTGTTTACCTGGCACCATATGGGATATTATTCGCTCTGATACCTCCCAATGGGCAAACAGAGTCTATCTATTACAGCATAATGGCTTTTAAATGTCAACACCTTGAAAGAGATGTTTTTTTTTTTTTTTTTACCGAAGCAGTTCTGCACAACCAGCCCAGGCTCCTTCTGGTCCTGTGGGAACACTCTTTAGCTGTTAGGATATTACGCGGCTGAGCACAAGGAAAAATGTATTTTTCTTCTTTGTTGACTAGAGTGGCTTTGCTTGCTTTTCAACCTGGCACCTCCTCCTGTGGTTCCTGTGTATAAGCCCAATCTCAGCTTAAATGAAAGTCATTTCCAAAGCAGCTGAGGTCCGTTAATACTGTGTGGAATTTAGAAAACACATGGGGGGGGGGGCTTTGCTTAGGTGAAATCCTGTTTTGGCCACTTGCTGTTTTGTCAGGCTGGAGAATGGTGCAAAGTCTATCCTGAGCACACAGAGGACCTATGGGAGCTGCATTCCTCCTCATGGAGCACCACTCTCTACCAGTCATGAGGGATGCTTAAGTATGAAACCTGCTCACACTGGCAAAGCCACAAAGTTTTCCCATCAGCTCAGACTTTCAGCAGCAAAAACCAGGAACCAGATTTTTCCCTTCTCCTGGAACATTCCTGATAAGTTTATCTTTGGGAGGTCTGACACTGTGGATGGGAAAGCCAATACTTTCCAGGTGTTTTTCATTGTTAAGGTAGAGTTTTCCTAACATTGGTGATAAGAGAGCAGCTGTGGAGATTGTTCAGCCGCTGCCCCACGAAAGTTCTTACTAATGTTGACTGGAAATATCAGATCAAATAGGAAGGTGTTGAAATGACCGGCAGACACTTAGACTCTCCATCTTTCTGAACTAGCAGGATATTTCTGTGGACATATGGCAAAAGTCCTCTGAACACAACAGTAACTGTCCCCCTTACAATATGTCATTCAATCAGTCCTGACATCACGAGGTGCCATGGTGTCGTGTCCAGCACATACAGTACAGTGATTTGGGCAGAAAAGCAACTAAGGATTATTCTCATTATCAGTTATTTATTTATTAGGCAAATTTATTGATCCCCCAGTCTATGAAATGTCAGACAATATACATACAATATATGCATCACAAAGACTAAAGTAAAACCAAATTGTTCAATTTGTCCAGTCAGCACATCCTTACAGATGGAAAAGCAGAAAGCTGACAGGGTTTGGCGTTTTAGTTCTGCTAGCTGTGTGGCTCTACAGATGACGGTGTCAGACTGTCAATCTCACAAATACTTGAAGAATTGGGGTGAAATTTTGGACAGACTGGCCCACAGAGAATGTCTCCTACTGACTTGGATTTTTTTCTAGCATCACTATGAGGTTGACGTGATTTTGAATGAAATTAACTTTTAGATGGACTGTAATGAAATTTGGTAGACATTTTCATGGTGCCCAGAGGATGAAGTCTGTTATTGCCACTAGCAGGTCAAAGATTCCACTTCCCCAGTGAGTTACCAGCTATTAGTAGACTAAATGGATTGGTACATAGTTTTGACTGTCTTAGTCAATACACCCTAAGTAACAAATTTAAGGATACTAACACAGCAAACAATCATCTGTATGTTAATATGTTAATGTTAGCCCAAGCTCTGTAGCCTCCCAAAGCTGCTACCATGGCTGTAGACATGTTATTTCTCCAAGACTGATTGTGAACAAAGCATAACAGTCCTCATTAGTGTTGAGTGCTTTGCTCATATGTTCCCTAATACCCATTCATGATGTCACAGCATGCCAGCTCGGCCTGAGGAGGCTGCCAGCCACAGATGTCAACAACCCTGCTGACCCAACCCCCTTCACCACCACTCTAC